CAACGATAACCCAATCTGTGGAGAATCCGTTGAACAGATTTCAGGCTCATCCCACCAACTTTGGCCACTTCTGCTGTCATTAATCTGGGATCCATTTCGATGCTCCTCTTGACAGCCCTTTTTGTCCTCTCTGATGGAACAGGACTACCCGGACGTTGCTCAGTTGTTTCCTTGCCGTGTTTCCTGAACTGCACAATGATTCTGTTGACTGTCGAAAGCGGGATTCCCAAATTCTGCGAAATTTGCCACTGACTTATTCCTCCATCTGCTTGACCAACTATCCTTCCTCTAACAAAATCTGACAATTCGAGAGAACCTTGAGTTCTAGGCATGTTGTAGCACAAGATAATAAGTATGCGGACCATTTTCATTTATATAGTGCTCTATGAACACAAATTAGTTAGCATAAATCAGTTAAATGACGAAAAATTAGGTGTGTATTTACTTGTGACCACTCAGTGTATATTTATATTGCTATTATTACTGCTTTTTTAAAAATCCTGGAAAATATAAACTTTCACCTGGTTAGGTCCCCCGCTGGGACAGTGGTAAGTCTACGGATTTACAACGTTAACATCAGGGGTTCGATTCCCTTCGGTGGACACAGCAGATAGCCCAATGTGGCTTTGCTATAAAAAAAAACAACAACACACAAACACCTGCTTAGACCAAACTGAGTGTCCTTCTATATCCATAGTCTTGTTCTCAGGCCATTTCAATAGCTGACATTCCTGGGTGCTTTTATTGTAATGAATAAAAGCACATTAATTTCTTCTGTTACAGTATAATCCACACTTCCAGTCTCGTGGCGCTTGAGTTTTGTCAAAGATTTGCGATGTTTGTTTTGTTTAACATAAAAATGTGGTTTGAACAAAAGACAATGAACTGGTGTCAAACAAGCCACGAGATTAACTATAATTATTAATTCACTGGTGTTTGCCAACATAATAACTCACTGTCTGAGGTTACACAAGGTTGTCGAAAAGTAGTTAGCTTTAGGGTTTCTTGAATAACGGCGGCTACAATTGAAGTTTGTCTTTAGAAAGTCAAACACGTGTTCATTGGATCACATTCAAGAGTATAATGTAAATTTATATTGTTACGTATCTGCTTATTTGATAATTTCCGGTAAAAATTCTTTCCGGGTGACTTCAGCGACACAAGTCCCTTCTTGATTAAAACTAATTTATTATTTCTCGTTACAAACTTTGTAATACACTTAATTTCCACAGTCACTTTAAACTTAACAACCTTTATAACACACGTTATAAATCACAGTGATTCACACAGTTTACTTACGATGCTTACTGTTCGCTTTACTCAGTTATCTCTATCTTCAGTCTATCTGCATATCTATCTCTTCTTTTATTTGCCGGGATTATATACTAAAAAAAGAGGGTGTCCCGAACAAACTAGGAAATTCACGATCATTCGAGAAACTTCTCGCACACGCCACCAGCGTCACGTGACTTCCGCTGTCGTAACAATATTAATTATTACGATAGTATAATATTGTTAATATTTCATGTTTTCCAAACAGAATTTGTATTATTTAGCACATTGTTACTCGATGAAAGCTCAGGTTAGAAGGCTGAAATCTCGCAATGAAAGGAAAAATGTTTTTAATTTTGCCTACGTTATGATTTTGTCTTTGAAGTTAAGCACAAAGCTACACAATGGGCTATCTGTGTTCTGCATACCACGGGTATCGAAATCCGGTTTCTAACGTTATAAGTCCACAGACATACCACTGTGCCATTGGTGGGCACCTACGTTATAAGTTGAAAACATTTCAACTCACTCAGACGGCATATTGCGAGTCTTGTAAAAACAACAACGACAACTGGAAAATACGAACATCGAATTATCTATAATTGAAAATTATTTAACCTTTCTTATGAGATGCTGTACATATGACGTGATGCTTAATGACAGCAGGGGTCAATTTCGAGTCGAGTGCCCTGACCACCAGGCTATGCCAGACCCAGTTGTTCTGAATGTTATAAGATAGCTTGGATATGTTTATTCACAATATTGTTACGTCTCTCGTCGTTAGTTAATTTCCCGTATAATTTCTTTCCGGTGAAATTTTAGCGACACAAGTCCTTTCTTAAATAAAACTGGGTTATTCTTTCTGAATACAACTTTGCAATACAGTTAATTTCCACAGTCGCGCTATAACAAACGCTATAATTCACAACGAACGTCTCACGTGCTCGACTCAGCTGTCAATTAGACATCCTTGCCGTCACTTCTTGGTGGCTTATATACACAAGACTACCGCATATCTAGTAAAAGCTCGAGACTTCACGAACCTTCGAGAATATGACGTGTTACTAGCGTCACGCTGTGGGTTCGAATCCGGTCACCAAACATGCACTTACAGCCGTGGGGGTGTTATAATGTGATGGTCAATCCTACTATTCGTTGGTAAAAGAAAAGGTGATGCCGAATAGATGCATTTCCTGTGCTCGGCACTTCAATATTAGGAACGGCGGAAGGTAGCCTTAATGGCTTTGCCATAAACAAACAAAAGATTAGTTAGTCCATTGCCTCCGCTTTGAAACCAATAACATTCGGTTTGAATCCTAGTGATAATTTTCAGTATTATTATTATTATTTGTTTCTCATAATTAAATTTCTATTTTTTGTCAGATACATAGTTATAAAAACTGAAATAATTTGTCAGAAGTTTTTGTTTATATTGCAAAGTATATTAAGTTTTGATGTATGCGAAAGTTACACGTATACAGACATCATATTGTTGCGTCAGCAAGGTCACGTGATTAGTATCACGCCACGTCCTTCTCGAACCTTCGTGAATTGTCGGGAGATTACTAGATAGAGTGTAGTCTTGTATGTATAAGACCGGCCACGAAGCGACGCGGAGGTAATGAGTAATTGAATGTATGCGGACAAAATATTGTTGACCACGTGAGACGTGAGTTATAGCATTTGATTATAGAGCGACTGTTGAAATTAAGTGTATCGGTAAAGTTGTATTCGGAGAGAATAAACCAGTTTATTTAAGAAAGGACTTGTGTCGCT